GAGTAACCTGTCCCCAAAGGTGACAAGTGGCACATGAAGAGCCCCTCAGAGAGAAGTTTTTGTCCCCTCCCCATCTTCTAGGTGCCGTTTTCAACCCCTGTGCATGAAGGACCTGGCTCCAAAGGTGACAGGTGACACTCAAGGAACCCCTCAGAAATTTTTTTGTCCCCTCCCCACCTTCCAGGTGCCCCTTGCTGCCCCTGTGCACGAGTGGCCTGTCCCCAAAGGTGACAAGTGACACACGAGGAGCCCCTGAGCATCCCCAGCTGTAGGATGGGCACTGCCACCCCCTGTGCTGCTCCTGGCACTCAGACATTTCCTGGCACTCGAGGAGGATTTCCGGGAGGGGTGGCAGCCCTGCGGTGGCAGCACTTGCAAAACACGGTGTTTTTCTTCAAAGYTGAGGTCAAAAACCACCAAAAAAACCCTGCAAGCCCCGAGCAGGAGCGGATGCCACGCAAGGTGGCACCTTCTGAGCAGAGATGGCTGAGCCCAAAAGTAGCAACACCTTAAAAACCACCGGAAGAGAGGAGAGGAGCAGCGGGTTTGTCACTTCACTGTCACATCGTTGTCACTTCAGTGTCACATGCWGGGGATGGGGATGGGGGCTGGCCCTGAGCTGGGCCCTGGCARGGGTCAGGGTCCTTCAGGAAGCCACAGAACGCTGCAGGTGGTGGGGAGGGGACAGGGTGAGCATCTTTGGGGACAGCAGCTGAGCAGGAGGTGACAGCCACAGGCGTGGGTGGGGGAAGGCTCGGTCTCAGCCTGGCCATTGTCCCCTTCCTGTCTGGGTGGCCTCGCTGGGGACAGCAGCACCCCGAGGGCAGAGCTGTGAGCGGGAAGGGCCCGGCTGTGGCAGAGCCTTACCCAGGGCTGAGCATCTTCCTAAATCTGAGAGCTCTCATCTTCCTAAATTTGTGTATTTCATCTTCCTACATTTGTAATGTATCATCTTCCTAAATTTGTGATATTTCGTCTTCCTGATTCTGAGATTTCTCATCTGCCTAATGCTGAATTTTCATCTTCCACTTCCGCCTCCTGATCAACTCCCCAGCAGTCCCRTATCTCCCTTGCAGCTCCATATCCTGCCTGCAGCCCCATAGCACCCCCAACAGCCACGTGTCCCCCTCAGCCCCATGTCCCCCATAAAAACCCTGTATCCCTCCTGCAGCCCTGTCCCCATAACAGCCCCATGTCCYCATTAACAGCCGTGTTCCCCCAGCCCTGTGTCCCCAAAATGCCCCATGTGCCCCCCAGCCCCATGTCCCCCATAATAACCCCATATCCCTCCTGCAGCT